GGTATGAGGTCTGCTTAGTGCAACATCTTGGGTGGGGTTGGGTGGGGGGTTGCTCTTGCATTTTAAGGGTTTTATAAGGTTAAGATTAATTCTGATGTACATTTTCTGCCGAAAAGACTTAAGTTTTGTGTAGTTTAATATTAAAACTGTCCTATATATTTAACACAACATATAAATTAATCCAATTTACTAATTTTTGATGCAGCATTTTATTTTTTTCTGCATAAACTGTCATTAACTGTGTTTTCTATTTAGAACTTATTTTGTATTTGACAAGATCTATGTTTTTCTATTTACTCTGTATTTTTGGTTGTGTTTTAGTATTTTTGATTACTCTATTCTGTTGGGCCACACCTTCCTGCACCTGATCTCTGAGTGAATGCAGGCTTCATGAGATGCAGTAAAAAATCTGGAGATGTTCTCCCATTTTTTTTCTTGTCCTCACTAATTAATGTGGGACTGAACTTTCTTTAACTCACTCAACAAGTTTCCTCCTCGCTCCAGTTCAGTTTCCTCATATAATCCATGGCTGCAGTGGCCACAACACATTTAGCTTTCATAAGATATAACAACCTGTTTCTGACCAAAAAATGGATCAAAGAGAAAACTGTCTTTAATTTATACTACATTAATATTTTGGAATTTTCAGACATTTGTTATAAAACAATAAATGCAACATTGTTATGTTGAATTTAAACTTAAGGTTACATATCATTTTATCTTGACATTTCTCTGAGAATATTGAATATGAAATCTGATTCAGCAATAGGTCAGTGCCAGGGCTTTTCTTCACCTAAACCAGCTGTTAGACTTAAAATCTATCWCTTCAGTTAAWGTAAGAATCTGATGTTTGATGAAYGAATTTTAAAACCAGCTTTGAGCCAAGAACATTTTCACACAAATATTTTTTCCACAGCATTCAGAGTATTTCTGAGAAGTTTAATAAACAGCTGTTCAGTTCTTTGTTTAAAACTTTGACATTCATAACGTCTCCACTGAAGGCCACTGTAAAACAGTTGGGTTATACGTTTTATTGTGTGGCGCTCTGAGATGTAGCTACGGACCGGTTGCTTTTTTTCCCACACGTAGTGTGGAAAAACACGCAGCTTCCTTGTGAGAACAGAGAACATCATGGTTTTTTTTTATTAATGTTTTACAGAGAAATGTTGTCTGTGCTCGCAACAAGCAGAAACTCTGCTCTGAGTTGTCTCGCGCTCCTGTTGCTTTATGACGCTGGGCTGGTTCTGTGTTAGTATGTGAGCGCACGCAGGAGTGGTTCTGGTCCGTGTGTGTGTGTGTGTGTGTGTGTGTTGATGGGAGGATATTCTGGGTGGTTAAAGTGTGACTCTGAACGCACCCTGTAATGTGTAGGGCTCACTGGACTCTCACAATGCAGGAATAATAATAAAATGAAGGAAAAATATCAAATTTTGCCATGTCTTTTTAGGCAACCCCTCCCACTCCCCCCACACGCATGATCTGTGTTTGATGTGTGACACAAAAATCTGAATTTTACAACTGAAATTGAATTATAGAACTGAAAGTAAAAGTAGTCAAACTGAATTTTTAAGAGAACAAAATACAGTTTCAAAGCAATTTAATTCAAATTTTAAACTTTGAGTTTCAAACCATTAAATTCAGTTTCACTTTAGTGAAATTCGTTTTCAAACCAATGCATTCAATTTCAAATTGTGCACATACAGATTCAATCTGAGCAATTCAAATTCAGTTTCTGTTGGCACAAGTTTCTTGCCATACCAGTATTTGGTGGGCTTTGAATGTTCCAGTCTTTACTATGAGATCATCTGTGGCATCACTTTGACCACCAGAGGGCGGTCAGGAGGCAGTTCCGCTGTGGAAACTTGGTCCCATCCGCCTGTGATCTCTCTTAATGTGAGAAGACCTGTCATTCTCTATCACTACATATCTGTTTCATTTCCAATCCCTATAGTTTATGTATGACATAACATGAGCTTACTCAAGGTCTTTGCACACAAGGATGCTTCAGGTCAGAACCACAAAGATTTAGGTCATTGTTCAATTCTACAAAGATCATTTGTAGAATTTCAAGGCAGAACACAAACATAAATAAATACAACTGTATTATGTGATACCTTCAAGTTTTTGTCTTAATAAATAGATGAGGAATTTTCCTAAATGAACTTCAGCCTGGCCTCTGGTTTGCTTTGTTTGATCCAATCTTTAAAACTTCAATCAAACAAATCTCAAAGCACCGATAAATGATAAACCACCCAGACACAAACCAGAYAAACACTAAAATACTTCAGCTTTGAACAATACCTTTTCACTATCCTTAAATAAAGCAATCAATTAATGCACAAAAATTATTTGGACTTTTTTTGTCTTGTTTGTCTCTATTTGGCTCTGGGATGGATGGATGGGGAAAAACGTGGATAAGTGGAGAAGTGATTAGTGAATGATAACAGGTGTGCTGATTACTAATGGAATACAGGTGGTATGTGAGGGCCGCAAACAAGAATGGAGAATTTATATATTTAGAGTGCATAAACAACTACTTTCAGTTGTTGTGTCCTTGGGCAAGACACTTCACCCACCTTGCCTACTGATGGTGGTCAGAGTGTCCGGTGGCAGCCTCGCCTCTGTCARTGTGCCCCAGTGCAGCTGTGGCTACAGTGTAGTTTGCCATCATCAGTGTGTGAATGTGAGTGTGAATGGGTGAATGTCTGTAAGTGCAAAGCGCTTTGGGGTCCGGAGGGACTTGAAAAGCGCTCTATAAGTTCAGTACCATTTACTATTACCATTTACCATTTACATGATAAGTTCGGTCATATTTCAATTTGTAACATTTACCTAAGGGTTAAATTTTAACCTAAAGAAGTAAAAGTATAATTTTTATAATTTGATTGCAACAAAATAAAAGTAAAAGATACGATTTTTAAAAAATGATTGGTAAAATTCCAAACCTTAAAAAAACTACCTAAGTACTGTAACAAAGTAAATGTACTTATTTACTATAGGATTTTTCAGAGGTATGTGACTTTGATGTGGAAAGAGCAACAGAGAAGTGGCTTTAATTATTGTTTCTTCTTCTTTTAAAGTCAAATGATTGTATTTTTAGTGTGTTGTTTTTTTTTCCTGATTTGCTGGATTGTGATAAAATGTATCTCTAAGAATAATAAATAAATGAAAATCTGTTTATAGAGAGCAAGGCATAAGAAATGAATGCTAATGATGTGTCTGTTAGTTTTTTTTTTCTTAATTTGTTAGGTTGTGTACACTTTAAATGCTACATAAAAAATTAGAAAATGTCATTTGTATTACATAATATTTATTTAATAAATATTGACACAAATTGGCCCTTGGCCTGGACCAAGATTTAAATTTGGCATCTTGTGAAACTGGGTGTGAGCCCCTGTTGTAAAGGCTCATTCTCTGAAYGATCCGTGTGCTTCTTAGTCTCTGAGTGGTCCATTAAGCTCTGAGTTGTAATCATGGTTTTTAATTGCTTTACTAACCCAGGAGGCTCGATTTGACAGGAAGTAACAACATATATTGAACTTGGTGAATACTGTATTGTATAAATATCAGCAATGCATGCTGTGTCGGATCATTTGTGAGGTGTTTGCGTGGACTGAAGGAGAATTTAGCACTAAAAAGTAATAGACATATTTTAGATCTGTGCTTGGAGCTTTCACAGCACACGAGAGTGCCGAGCTCATTCCTGCAGGTCATTTCAGACACTAAACTTTACCCGAGCATGGTCTCATCTTGCCTTCAGATTCTCACGTCAGGATGAAGGTGATGGATTTAGTGCTGTTTCTTAAATTATGATGTGCGAGGTCAAGTTCAGTGAGCGAGATCTTTATCCAAGGCGYGACGCACAACCGGCTGTCACATGACTGACACACACTCTACAGAGTCAGATGTGGTAGGTGGGCAGAGAGGGACTGGACTTTACACAAATATACAGATAATGTGAAGTCAAAAGATCCATGGGTCCAGAGGAGCAGTAACGTTCCCTGTTAACACCTTCTCTGCTGCACCTACACTGTTCATGTCTCAGYCCTGTAACCTGATGCAGTCCCTCTTAGAACTGGAGCACAACTCCTGAACTTTCATTGGCTGCAGAGCTAAAATTAGCATATTGACTTCTGTGAAATGCATTCTGGGAATAAAATGCTTTCAGCTTGGCCTTATGGAGCTGGTGCTGGTTCTGGTTTTTCAGGTCCAGCAGTGAGGTGGACCATTTTTTCTGCAGAGAAACATTCATGATGTATATATACAGTACATAGAGTATATAATTGTATATAATGTGTTCCTTTGCAAAAAAATGCTATATACTGAGCAGTTATCTAATACCCTAAATACAGCATCACTATCTCTGTAAGTAGGCCACAAATTCCTGTAGGTCCAGTCGGGTTCATAGGTCAGAGTTTCACTGGTTACATCACACACTGACTTTGCACGTTTTATGACTCAACACATTTCTGTTACYTTACCCCACTTGAAAAACCAAAAGCTTTTAATAAAAAATTACCATGAATAAAGGCTTAATCTCTAAGTTTAAGACAAATACTGTATTTTGCATGATTTGTGAACTTATAATACTTGTGATTACGATGACCCTCAGCTACCATCAAACGCAAAACTTATCAAATTGACTGAGTTTCAGTCAGTTTTTTTTAGCAAGCTTTATAAACTGTGGCAGCCATGCTGAATAGGGTTGACTTCAAAAGTTAATCAGTTTTAGAAATGCATCCATTTCATTTTTTTTCATTTGTTGTTTATTTGTGTAGAA